TTTTTATCTAGAGTGTACACAAATTCGAAAAAAGTCGTTTCGAAAAAAAACGCGTTTGAAACAAAGTTCACTTAATCGCTTATAACTTTTGAACGAATTGAAATTTTAGGATTATATTTTTGGATAGTTTTACAAGCAATTTATGAAAAAAAAGAAAATCGCATTTTTTAAAGCCTCTACAAGTATTTCCCCTTTTAAATGACTTATCAGTTTAAGGAACAAGTCATTTTGAACCCTCCGGTAGAAGTAGTTTACGTCAATCGTCAGTAGTTCTAGTATTAAATAATTGTTATAAATCATAAGTGATTTGTGACAAACTAAAAAACTATTTAACATAATAATATTTACGCCAACTAAAAAGTAATGATGTTTTTTTGTGTTAAATTCAAACAAATGAATTTTTAATTTGTTTTTATTTTTAGTCAATGATAAAATCACCCTCTTACATGTACTGCGTGAGTAATAGAACAAATAACGTAAAAAATAACATAAATTAATCTTTTGATGGGGATAATATAATTTTTATGATGTTACTGTACGTGTACATGTGCCCACATTATTCGAAAGTGTAAAAATTGGTTAATGCAGAGTAAAATACTATAAGTAAAAAGTTTTCTCCTATGACGTAAGTAACACTATTTATTAAAATGTTTGGTAAAGTTGTGAGATAAGTTTATCACACACTGCGAATTTACATCAACAACATTAATTTTACCATTTGTTAATTTATCTACTGTTTTTTTTTTTTTAATCACAGGTTTCTTTTGGTTCTTGTAGACATAAAAACAAAACGTGGGATGATTTATCAGATATGGTTATTGCATATTGTGTCGTGTACGAGTGAGTTACCTTAATCATATTACGCTTCTTGATCAACACACACGTATGTATCACACGTATGTATCAGAAATAAATATTGAAATAATTCTTCATTTTCGTAAATTATTATTCATGAAAGCAAAATGATGAAGAATATATAAAACAAAGAACAATTAGGAAAAAATAGGAATTTATAGTGATAAAGATGACAATGCAATACTTAAATCAAGCAAATTTAATTTTTAAATCTGAAAATTCCTATATTTTATTATACAGGGTGATCCACTAGCTTTTGCCACTTAAATAGCTCCTAAAGTATAATAGTAGCAGAAAAATGGATAAAAAAGAAGTTGTATGAAAAATTCAGGACTATAACATGACATTAGTATTTTTTTGCAAGATTGATTAATTTTCGAGATGTATTGGTCAACTATGTTTTTTTAAATATAATGTTCTGTTTTAATACTTATTTTCGGGTAGCGGCTGTCAATACGAATCCAATAATGTGCAACATTAATATTTTTGAAAGTCAAAAAAAGTTAAAACTGACAAACAAGCCGGCCACAAACAGCTCTTCCGCGTCATGGTCGCGTCAGGGTTGTGTCAGGGTTGCGTCAGTTACATCATCCTTTAGTTGTTCCGACAAAAGACGGAACAGATATTTTCCAAATAGTTTTTATTAGTTATTGACAGGTTTTGTATTTAATGTTGTACATCGTTGGATTCATCTTGACAGCTGCTATCCGAAAATAAGTATAAAAATATGACATTGTATTTAAAAAAAACAATGTTAACTAATAAATCTCGAAAATGACTTAACCTAGCAAAAAAATACTAATATCATATTGTAGTCCTGAATTTTTGATGCAACTTTTTCCTTATTTACTTTTTTGCTTCTATCATACTTTCTGTGCTATTTAGGTTACAAGAGCTTGTGAATCATCCTGTATAACGCGTACTAGGAGGAATCGGAATATATGAAAACAGAAATCGGAATATCTTTAGCGCATTATAGGAATTCATGCAGTAAGAATTTCTGTTATACGAGAGTCCATTGTAATATTTGTCAAAAAAAAAAAAAAAAAAAAAAAAAATCTATCTTCTCCATATGCGAAGGTATGTTGTGTGTATAGTAACGTGTGGGTATGGCGTGTACCGAGTAGCATGAGAGAAGTGCGTATCATTTATCATTTCTACCTCCTACTCTAAATTTTTCTATTCAAATAATCTTATTGCAAATATCGTAGAAAAAGTAGAAACTGAATAAAAAGAAAATTATTTTAAACCAAAGTTTTTTACTTTTTTACCAAAAAAAAAAAGAAGTTATTGCAAAAGTTGTAGATTTACAAAAAAATCGAGTTTATTTTGAAATAACCTTAAAAACGTTTCGCGAATGAGAAATAAATAAAAAATGTAATTTTATCTTTTAAAATGAAACAGAATTTTTGTTAAACTAATTGTTTTTCGCGTCCAAAAAATAAAATATATAAAAATTTTGTATCATAGGGAAATTGGACAGGTTACATAACCTCAAAAATACAATTCTTTGAACCGCTAAATGTATAATAATATTTTTTTATTTATACAATAAAAAAACAACACAAAAATTATTGTATATTTATTGTTTCGATGAATTTCTAATAAAAAGACGGAACGTACAGCAGGATCAAAACAATATGTTTTGATATTTTTACCTATCTAACTTTCCTATGATACAAAATTTCTTGTTAAGCTTTCTGCTTGAAAAAAAATGCATTATTTCCATTAGAATTAATAATTTTTTTTTTATTTAACCCTTTGACTGCTACAGACGCATATATGCGTCTGTCGGAAGCTATCGGTATGGACTAAGGACGCATATATGCACTTTCTGTAAGTGTTCGGCATGGACTAAGGACGCATATATGCATTTGTCAATTTTTCGAGCACCTACACAGAATTAATACCATTATGCGTCTGTGAGATACGTATAAATGCATTCCTTAGCAACGGCAATAAACAAATGCCAAAAATGCATTATATTATAATATATATAAATATATATATATATATATTATATTATATTTATTAAATTTAGTTTTTCAGTTTATTGTTTTCTATTTTGTTACACAAATTTTAGTTTATTTTAAGTTTCAACGTCAATAATAAGGAATACTAAAAAATAATACTAATAAATAATTAATTCTAAAAAATAACGCTCTTGAATTATTTAATCTCGTACGAAAGTACGATTTATGCTTTGAGTAGTTCATCAACAGAGTTCAGTCTACCGAAAAAGTATTCAGTCCATAGCGATCGTTAGTACTCGCCGCGCGCCGTCCGTACGGACTGCATAGGCCAGGAGTGTTCAGCAGTCAAAGGGTTAATGTATTAAATCATTGACTAATTTCAAATTCTTTTTATGTTGGTTATACTTCAATTTATGATTTTTACATAAAGAAAGACTTTATATTTGATTAATTGTATTAATTAATTTTTATTCGCGAACTAGAACACGTGTATAAATGATTTCTGAGCCAATATTTTATCGATCAAATTCAATTTTATTTTAAATAAAAAAAAAAAAAAAAAAAAAAANNNNAACAACCACATTAATCACTCATCCTCTTATTGTTGCTTGAAATTTTGTTTACGGTGGAGTTTCATTATCCGAAACGATATAAAAGCTTTTATGAATTGGTTTATTTGTAAAAGTTAATTTAGAATTAAATTGTACAATTTTCTTGCATTAAATTATAAATTATAAACAAAATTAAAATATTTCGTGTGTTACAATGTATCATAAATTTATCATTAAACTACATATTTCAAATAGAATAAATATTTAATTTGTTAGATCATTTATAAAAATTGGACAGAAATATTTTAGAATTTTATTGAGGGTCACGTTGATTTCTTGGACGATGAAAAAGCGAATTTTTAAGAACCGACTATTATCTCTTACTGTCAAAAGTGAAAGAAAAAAAGATATAGAGAGTGAAAGAAAAAGAGAAAAAAAAAAAGGTTACTTCGCGAATACAGCAACAAAAAGGGCACCAGCAATAATTCATCGTTCGTCTGCCGTATCCTCCGCCCCTGGTGTATTCGAGATCGATTCACGAATAGATTCGAGAGAAACACGACTTAAAGGAAACGTACCCCCTACCCCTATTCGAGATGAATATTAAAAAAGAAAAAACAAAACCGTCAAAAAAAATTGGAAGAAAATTCTCTCATTTTCTTTTTTTTGCTCCCCTGCTGCAAGGGGATAATAAAAGCATTTGGTTTATTTTTCACCGAATAGAAGAAAACTCTCACCGAAATGAGTTTCGTTCGAACGATAATAAAACGCGTAATAACGGATCAATGAAACAAAATATTTGATATAAAGAAGATAATCAAAAGAAGAAAAGAAACTACAAGGATGATCGATGTTAAACAAATGATGTACAATAAATAAAATGAATAGTATATATGGTAATAATTTTCGGTTGCCCGGCAAGTTCGTAAATCGATTTTAATAACAAATTCGAAAGACAAGGCTATGTATATTTCGATATTTATATTTAAAAATATATGATATAAATATTAATTATATATTATAAATAATAATATTATAAATTATATTATATATTAATATAATAATTATATATATAATATATTATATATAAATTAAATTATATATATATATAATATATCAACAAAATTATTTTAAAAATTTGGAATTAATAAAAATAAAATTGTAAATCAAAATTTTGTAA